CCCTCCCACCAGAGGCCCCGCCCTCCCACCAGAGGCGTGGCCCGCAAGGTTCCAACACCGCCCACAGTGTGGGAAAACAGCAACACCCAGCCTGCACCGCACTTAGCCGGACGTAGCGCATGCGTCCTGGGGACGCCCGGATTTCCTGTCCGCGCACTTCGGTTCCGACCAATGAGGTGGGCCCGGAGGCGGGCCAACGTGCTCCAGGCCCCTCCTCCGCCGGGTGCGTCCCGAGCCGCCGCGGACGGCCCCGGTGAGGTTCCTGGAGGCTCATGGCGGCCTCCAGGGCGCTCAATACTTTCCGTCTCCCGCCGCTGCCCACGATTGGAGAGATCATTAAGTTGTTCAGACTGCAAGCGGCGAAGCAGCTCTCCCAGAATTTTCTCCTGGACTTGAGGCTGACAGGTGGATGCCTTACCATGCCCCGGGCTCGCTGCCCCGCGTCCCTGGGGGCTCGGGTCGCGGGCCTCGCGTGCGTCTTGCGGGCGGGCAGGTGCCCAGGGTCAGGCACAGGTGCCCGCGGCCCTCACCCAGGTGCTTCCGCCGCTCGGTACTAAAGACCGCGCCCCGCGGGCGCGTGGAACGCGTCGTGCGCTCGCGGACTCCCGCGCGGGCGCCTGCGGGGCTGGTGCTGTGCTTTACGTTCCTCGCGCAGACCGGCCAGTTCCCAAGGACGGGCCGGATAAGCAGCCCGCTTCTCAGCAGTTGTCGAACATCAGATATTTGAATGGACAAGGCTGCTTTCACATTCAGAATTTTCTATGCCGCTATTTAAAAACCCAGAGTTTAAAAAGTGCTGACAGTCTCCATTTTTACCCCTAGACACCTAGTTGCTGGTCAGTGCGGCAATGGCAACAAGTTCCTAGATCACAAGACCTGCAGAAATTGAGATTCTTGGTCATCTTCAGTTAAAAGCTAAATTCAACAGTGGAGGTTTTTAAGCTTTGCAAACATGCAAGTTGATATAGAGAAGTGATTTTTTTTTAATTAATCTACTTTAAGTTAGCAGACCTTAAGAAATGGAAAAGTAGATTATAGAGGATTCAATGCAGTCAGTCATCACTCTGAAAAAACATACAATGGGCTGGTCTTACAGTTATTAAAACCCAAGCAACTGGGCCTCCTGGCACAGTGGAAATGTAGTCACTGAAACATACCAGCACTAATTGGCAGCGTTCACTGACGCTGTATTGTCCCATTTTTGCTTCTGTTATTTAGAAAACTGACTTTTGTAGGCTTAAAGGAAGAAAGTCTCTCAACCATCCGAAACCAGTTTTGTCTGTTGTGCAGGGAGGGACTCAGCACCCACTGGCCATCTGTTTGTCATGGGTGCTTCATATGCTTTTTCACAAGTCCTCACAACATGCTCACTAACCCAATTTAACTCCTCTGAACGTTTCATGTTTCTTGTCTGGTTCTATGGGCAAGGTCATCTAGACAGCAAATGGAAGAAGAGAAGGGGCTCCAGCTCAGGTGTGAATTCTAAAGCCAACCCTTCCTCCGATACAGACCAAAGCCTCTCAGAGGGAACAGAGGCGGTACATCAAACACCGGAATTATGGAGTGAATTGAATATTCTCATTTTTACAAGTGGAGAGCCATGCTAGTAGGCAGTGGCTCTGCCCTCAAACTATTCAGGCACATTCAGAGACAAACGCCTTCAAAAAGGCATGATAATCCTATTTTGTTAAAGGACTGGTACTTTTCAATAGTGTTGTGGTAGAACAAAGAATGGCCACTTTGTGTTGGTTTAGGTTGAGTTAAATAGTTGGATTAATATTGTATATAAAGGATTAGTTGATTAACTAATGGATGATAAGAATTTCTATTGATTTTTTAAAAAATTCCATACATCAAAATTCACCAAGATAACTAAAATTTTCTTTTCTCCAGATAAAATTGTGAGGAAAGCTGGCAATCTGACAAATGCGTATGTGTACGAAGTGGGCCCTGGGCCAGGGGGAATCACCAGATCCATCCTCAATGCCAATGTTGCTGAACTTCTGGTGGTTGAAAAGGACAGTCGCTTTATTCCTGGACTACAGGTGAGATACTTAAACTGTCTTTTAAATACCCAATTTAGATCTTTAGGCCATGTCTAAAACCCCACGGTATCCAAGGATTAAATAGGTTGCAGATCCCCAGGCCCCATTCCAGAGATTTCTATTCATAGTCTGGAGAGGCCTAGAAAGCTGCATTTTTAACAAACATCCCCACGTGGTCTGTTGACCAGGGTTGAATAAATCTGCTAAAATAAAAATGCTAAACCTTATAAAAAAAAAATCTAATATCTGTGCATATCATGGCTCATTCCTTTAAAAATAAGTAAGGATAAATAATGGTAAGAATGACTCAGCATGATTTCTGAGAACTTCATTTAGGTTCAGAGAATCATTTGTACAAGCAAAAGAGAAGACATTGGCTTTTAATTGAGAGACCAATTATTAAGCTTAGGCATTCTGGAGAAGAGAATTTTTTAAGTGAAGGAATGGTACCACTGTATGTATAGATTTAAGATGAGTGTGAATGAAGTGGTATGTGCATCTTCAAAATAGTACTATAATTTTATGAGAAATGTTTGAAGGAACTGGACACATTTCAACTAAAGAGAAGCCTTGAGAGGGAATTCAGAGCTGCCTATCAAAGGCTGATTTTGATCTTCTCAAGGAAAGAATTAAAACAAATAGGTGGAGGAAGGCAGATGTGGATTTAAAATAAGAAGGGACAGCCCTGGCCGGGTGGTTCAGTTGGTTAGAGCGTTGTCCCATGCACCAAAAAAGTTCACAGGTTTGATTCCCGGTCAGGACACATGCTTAGGTTGCCAGTTCAATCCTGGTCAGGGCAAGTACGGGAGGCAACCAGTCGATGTTTCTCTCTCATCGATATTCTCTCTCTCTCCCCCTCTCCCTCTAAAAATCAGTAGAGACATATCCTCAAGTGAGGATTAAAAAAATAATAATAAGGGACATACATTTTTAAAACATTGGCAAACAGTGGAAGAGGGATCTTGTAAAGGGAATTCTTCATCAGGGCACTTAATGACTGAGGAGCCTTTGATTCCTCCCTATTTTATTAAATAATACATTTAACAGGGAGGAATCAAAGAGCCTTTAGCAATTTATTGCTAAAAGAGCATTTGAAAGAGCCTTTAGCAATTTACTACTTGAGTTCAGTAGAATAGTTAAATTATCTGCATTATTATTTTCATACAAGAGGAAACATTGGTTTAAAATTAATACATTCTAATACTTACTTGTATGTGTATTACTGGAAAAATGTTTAATTTCTGCCAGAACGGTTTGAGAAAATTTGTTTGAAAATCTAGGACTTTGTATGCATGTATCTGATTTTTTTAAAGAAACCTAGTGATTTTTTTCTTATTATTTTGCTATATTCAGTTTTTATGTTTTAAGAAATGTTATATTTACTCTTATTTTGCTAGTCTTCATTGACAGAATTGGTTTCAGATATATAACTTTATTTTGGGATATTATATGGTGCATATTCTTGATCAAATGTGGAATTCAATATTGATTTTTGTTTGAACTGCTTTCTTATTTTAAGAACTGTATCTCAAGTGGAGATGGAAGTGTGGATATTAATTTTGGTGAGATCATAAGGTGATGAAAAGAAACTGAACAACACGAATAATTCCCTCCAGGTTTAATCATCTAGCCCTTTCTGGACACACGGAATACTCATATGATTTTTTTCTCTTCTAGAGACTTCTTAACCCTGAATCTCACCTACTGTTATATGCATTTCGTTCTCATTAGGAAGGTGGATCACATTTCTATTCATCCCCATCTTAGTTCACATATTCTCCTCTCTGATCTCAACTAAAGATATTTGAAGACAGACCATTTAAAAGACAGCTGCACCCTTCTTATCTCAACTGTCCCTGCACTCCTGGCCCTCCTTGTTTTATTTGTCTCATTATTTACTGTCATCTGACACTGTCTCTGTGTTCTTGTATATTTGTTGTTCCGTACTGCACATGCACCGTATTTGAGGGCCTGGCACATAGCAGGTGCTCAGTAATGCCTCACATGGTGAAGAAAAAGGTTGGCTGTGTATCTATCTGATTAACTGACTATATGTAGCATTTAACAATGAAAGTGAATAATTGTGTAGCATTGATTATCAAAAAGTTTTTTGCTCGTTTTCTAAATATTAGGTTAATTTCATGGTAAATTACTCTGCAGAAAATGTTTATTTGACTTCTTATCTGTTTTTGTAGAAGAAGCAAAATTCTTAGTGCCTTGTATGCAGGAAAGGAATTTGCCTTAAAAGGAAATGTTGGGAACTAATATTCCAAATAGACTTCTTTTTCCTGTAAAGAATGTTTCAATATGTAAAACCACTTTCCTTTAGAAGTACTAAATTAATCATAAAACTGAGTAAAGGCAGAAGGAGAGCGATCTATTTTAAGGATTCCATTTTAGTGACTTCTAAGCTAATAGAATGACTTTTCAAAGAAATTGTAATAATTTATAAAATGCCTTCTAGTTGAAAGTATGTCATTTGTAGCTTAATTCAATTCTTATAATATTATCATGAGGCAGCTTGGAGGAAAGAATGTCCTGATTTTGTAGGTCTCACTGTCAGCATGTTGTAAAGTAAGAAAACGTTGCTAATGTGGGAAAGCATTCTAGCACAGTTTCATGGCAAGGAACACGGACTTGAGAGTCAGACTCTGGGTTTGACCTCGGGCTCTACCATTTATTTACTAGTTGTAAAACCTTGGGCTGGTGACTGACTCTTTGTCGCTTTGCTCACAGAATTGTTATGAGGATTAAATGAATACCTCATACGTAATAAGCACTTAATACAGTTTTTGACATAATTAATCCATTAAGTTATTAACCCTGTGTGTCTTGTACACCCCTGCTAATTAAAGATTGATCAGGAGACTGCTGATCTGGAAGGAGGAGTAGGAGGGGAGTGATGCCATTTCCCTGGAGCACTAGAAAATGCTCAGTGCTATGGAATCATTGGGCTTAGAATTTCTCCTACACCTTCAGCGTGTTACACAGCTGTAGCTCTTTGTTTTGTTAATTTTAGCGGTTTACTGAAGGTGTGGGGTCTACGTCCTCACACATCCCAGCGTGTCTACGCATTGCACCGCTTCAGTTTCCACACACAAGCTCCGTCATCTCCTTGCTTCTCCCTGCCTGGCCTTGTGCTCATTGTCATACTTGCCCATATGTTGTAAAGCCCACAATACAATGTCGTTTTTGTTTCAAAAGTCGATTCTGTGTTAAAGACATTTAAGTAAGTGAAAATTCTTACTTACCCATGTGGTCACTATTTTGAGTGTATTTTTATCTAGTATCATTTTCCTCTAATCTGAAAAACCTTTAGCGTTTTGTGTAGTGTGAATCTGTTGCTGATGAACCTTTCAGCATCTGTATGACCGAAAAGTTTTATTTTGTCTTCATTTTTTGAAAAACATCCTAGCAGTGTTCTTTCAGTCCTCTTAAGATATCACTCTGCTGTCTTCTTGGGTTGCTTCTGACAGGAAATCTGTCATCATTCTGTCTCCTCCTCTGACTTTTTCTTTCTGGCTGCCTTTGAATTTTTCTTGATCACTGGTTTTGAGCAGTTTCATCATGATGTGCATTGGTGTCCTTTTCTTCATGTTTCTGTCCGTGGGTTTCATTGAGCTCCTTGGGTCTGCAGGTTTTCCCGTGCTCCCTGTTGTCCTGTTTTTATTTAAGGCACAGAGTATATCTGGTCCCTAATGTCCATCTTGTCCAGAGTAAGAAGTTCTAGGATTCTTCTTAACTTTTAAGTTATATGCTTATTTTGTGGGATTTTGGAGATAGGAGGGCATTGATTATTGTTAGGATTGCCTCTGGCTTTATAACAGGTCAACAGAGTGATGATCTTTTCTACTTGATAGACAGGGTGGAGAATCAAATAGGCTGGTGTTCAAATCTCAGGTGTGCCACTAGAGGTTGTGACCTTGAGCTTTTTGTTGAATCTTTTTTAGCTTCAGTGTTCTCATCTGGGAATAATAGTTATCTTTGGTGGTTATTGCAAGGATAGACAGGGATTTATACAGAGAGCCTGGCAAGTAAAGAGCCTGGTGTATTGCCAGTAGCTAGTCAATGGTTGCTATTATAATTATTCCCCTTCCCATCATCTGATAAAGGGACATAAAATATAATATAGTCATCCTGGCAAAAGGAGCTATTTTTAATCAAAGATAATAACATTTTGAAATTCTTTTATCTCTAGCAAACTTTAAAAAAGGAAGATTGCTTGACTTTCTGTTGTGACATGATTACATATTTTACACATGTGACTTATTTGATATAGCTACAATCATATTAATCATAACATAGAACCAACAAGTAAACAAAAGATAGCTTACAGCCAAAGTGATTTCCTAGTCCACCTCAAACTCAAGGTGCAGACATCGTGCCCTGGCCGGTGTGGTTCAGTAGTTAGAGCATCGACCTGCGCACCGAAGGGCTGTGGGTTCAATTCCCGGTCAAGGGCACATACCTGGGTTTCGGATTCATTCCTTTCCTCCTGGTCTGGGTGTATGCAGGAGGCAACCGATTGATTTGTCTCTCTCCCATCGATGGTTTTCTCTCTCCCCCTCCCTCCCTCCCACTCTCCCTGAAAAGCAATGGAAAAAAATATCCTCAGGTGAGGATTAAAAAAAGCTCTAGAGATCAGTGCTAGAAGCAGACCTCTGATGGCAGCAAGAAGTACAGTTATTACTGTGGCAGAAAAGCTATAAAAAGCAAATATAAAAATGGGGCGGGGGGAAGCGCAGTAATAAGGGTCATAACCATTGAGGCCATTACTCTACCGGCAGAAATGAAAAAGTCGTCCAGGAAAGGGTGAAACTGGGTTCATTGTACTTGGCTTGAAGAAGAGAATTGTGCAATATAGTTTAGAAAGATATCCATATGTAAGTCTTTTTAAGAAATGTTAACACTTAAAGGAGTAAACATTGGTTAAATAGGAAATTTACTAAATCAAACATCCAATTCCTTCATGAGGCTGAGCAAACGAGTTTCTACTGTACCTGTTCTGGTCCTGTTTAAAAAGCAAAGCAAGCTGACTTAGAAATCATGCCAGAATCTTCACCCTAAGAAAATTCTATTGTAACATCTTGAATTCCTTTTGAACAATAGCATTAGTCTTTTCTATGTTTTATATATAAGAATAAAATTGTATTTTCACCTATTATATTCCCTATTACAGATTTTTTATTCTCATATATAGTTTGCCTAACAGCTTTGCCCAGCCTTTATTTCAACAGTATTTGGATTCCTGCTGTCAGGAAGGTCGTATCACTGAGCCGTGTGACCAGTGCTCAGCCCACTGTGCAGTGCTGGCTGCCGTAGGCCCCTCACCGTGAGACAGTAGCATAAAATGTGCAAAATGGCTGTTTGATAGTTTTTTGTTCTCAAGGAATTTATAATTGTACCTAAGTTCCAAGAATTGCATAACTTATTTTGTCATCAAATTACATCACCAACAAACTGCCTAGGTGGCCCATGGTTACTCGCTCCCTAGAGAAAAGTGTGCGCTGAGACCTTGACTTGTTAGGAGGGATTTTGAGATCACCACATGAGGGATCCTTCTGCTTTTGCCCTCTCCTTTCAGTAAAGGCATTCTCCACTGTGTTGTGCCATGTACCCTTTACAAAACCCAGCACCAGGAAAAAACAAGCATTTTCTCTCTTGGAGACTAGGTATCATTCCTTCCAATAGGGAGTAGGAATTCCATAATTCAGTGCGTTGGTCATGAGAGCTAACACCTCTAGGATTGTCAGCTCTCACAATTCACATGTCTACTTCTCCTTTTCATGATTTGGCTTTCTGTTTCCTACCTTACAGCCTTATTTAATGAATCCTTTTACTCTAAGCTTAAGTCTCATTTTTGAAGAATATAGGATTGAAAACTAAAATAAAAGTGATAGGACAATTTGGGAGTGTCTATAAAAGGACCAATTTGGCTGTGATCAAGTGCCTGCATTCATAGTCCCCTGTGCCGCAAGCACATGAGGAGGTAATGCCTCTGGGGTTTTGAAGTGTAAGGCAACAGTGATATTCTTGAAGGGCTATAACGGTTGATCTGTCCCACTCCTCCATCATCCCAAACATGATAATGAAAGCATTTTTCTCTCTAAGTGGTTAGTTAGAAAGTCTGTGTCATTCCTGAATATCATCAGGTGTTTAAATGGCTGTCGTCTATAATCATACTATCATTTTAGTTTGGGGAGCACTTTCCCCCATAGATGCTCCAGACCCTTCACCTATAGCTATGAACCCCAGCATTCATTCCTTCTGCAGTGGGAAGGCAGACAAAGGAAGATCAGGTGACTGAGTAGTCATGGAAGAGGTAGATCTTTTAAAGAATGAGAGGATTTGGTTTGACTTCAGTCTGAAGTGGGGTCCAAAAAATATATAATAGAAATGTAACTTTAAACCTAGGAAAGGAAGGTGAATGTGTGTTATATCAGTTTCCTGGTATGCAGCTGTATCAGTGTGGAAAAAATTAACATCTCAAACATGGTTGAGTTATCAGTATGTAAATTAATGCCAAAGCGCCAAGTTTACATTGTTTTGTTTTAGTCTTAATTACTAATTACTTAATTACTTTCTATATATTGACATCATGAAACATAGGCTTTTAGTTCTGCCTCTTAGTTTTGGGTATGCTAATTTGTTTTGTTTTAATTATGTGAAGCATAATTATAGAAAAAATTCTAATGTTCTTTGTTGACGGTAAATGCTATCATTAAATACACAGTTTTTATACAGTAAGAGCCTGTCCCATAGAGAGCTATCTCCTTTTTTATTTATAGGATATTGAGGTTATTACATTTTCTAAGATTTAGTGTCTGGAACTCATCAAATTAAATTTTAACAAATTGTGGTAATTTAAAATGATCCATAAGTACTTCAATATCAGAGATACACAGTTGTTTTTGCTGAACTACCATGACTAAATATATCAACTGAGATGATTCCCAAACTTAAAATGTTTAACCGCGCCCAGCCGGGCGTGGCTCAGTGGTTGAGCATCGACCTAGGATCCAGGCGATTGGAGTTCAATTTCCTGTCAGGGCACATGCCCGGGCTAGACAGCTGATCAATGACTCTCTCATCATTGATGTTTCTCTCCCTCTCCCCCTCTCCTTTCCTCTCTCTGAAATCAATAAAGATATATTTAAAAAAAAAAAAAATGTTTAACCTCTCACCAGTATAGGCAATTAAGCTCTGTATTTCTGAAACATTACTTGTCTAATTCTGCCTGAGTTATCAGTGAAATAAGTCTTTGCCAGTTAATTGACCTTACAAATTTGTGGAACCCAAAATCTCAAGGCTAGGACAGGAAGTTTCCAGCTTCACAAAAAACTGAGTGCCATCTGGTCACCCAGTCTGTACTTTTGTAACTGCAAGGGACATTAAGGTAGATAATGGGTGCTGCCCGTAAGGAGCACACCTTGTTATGGGGAAAGAACCCCGTAGGTACATAATTGTGACACAGGGCTTTCTAAGCGCTACGAAGAAGCATGTGCAAGGCACAGTGCTGACCCAAAGGTGGTCCGTGTCTTCTCTCCGGCTTCCATGCTGCCTCTTACATCCTTCCTCCAGTTGCCTGGGTTAGGCAAGGAGAGAGTTAGGAGAGAAAATCAGCTTGAACTGAGCTAAAGAAGCAGGACCAGGGGGTGCTCAGGGCCAGTGTCCCCTGAATTGGAGCTGAGTTCTCTGAGCTCCCTGGGCTGAGTCTTAATGTGGAGTCAAGTTCTGTGTTGGATGCAGGGGCACTTAACATGATGCAGCTTTGTAGCCCGCCGAGCCTTCAGGCTCTCTTTAGCCAAGTCCCAGCACTGTAGCAGAGTCAGAGCGCTTCTTAAGGAATGGCCCTGAAGAGGGGAGAATGAAGGTAACAAAGCAGAGGTGCTTCACTTCATTCCCCCTTATTTTCTGTTTCTTTTTTACTCAGAAAGATTGAAGAACGAGGAAGGAAAGCACATGGTTAGAAGGTAGGAATAGGCGGGGATACAGGATAATTCATTAGATTGGAAGTGCCTGTGGATCAAGAATATTAAGGTTAGTCATGCTCTGGTCAGGGGAGTATCTGAGTTCCCCTGCAGCTTGTCCACGACAAATGACTTTCTCCCTGGTTTGAGTCTGTCCATAGGTTAAGTTAAAGATCTTGGTAAAACATAGAATCCCGTATGTAGAGTTAGGCTCTAAAGATTTCATTGAATTAAGCTCATCTTACATGTGATTTACTCCTAATTCGCAGTATGTCATTATAATGCTTAGTCTCTAATTTAAAACTTCTAAATAGGAGTTGAGTTTTTGCTAAATCCATACAGAAATACAAGTCATTCTGAGGGTCAAGATTTCATTAATATATCATTTGTGAAATGATAAGCTATTTTTATACTGTCATCTATTACTGTCCCTAGTCATTCATATGTTGAAAGTGAAGCACACAGTAGGCTATTGCAGTGGATACCGTGTGCTATTAGTTCACTCATGATCACTGTTAGTCTCTGGCTTTTCAGATTGATTTAATCACAGATTTGAAGTAAAAAAAATAGTTTCAGTATTTGCCAAAGTGTATGAGCTCATTTTATTGACCTTTCTGTGAACTAGATGCTTTCTGATGCAGCACCTGGAAAACTGAGGATAGTCCATGGAGATGTGTTGACATTTAAGATAGAAAAGGCTTTTCCAGAAAGTCTTAAAAGACAGTGGGAGGATGGTAAGTGACTTTGGATTGGTTTTCTTATTTTTTGTAATTATTTATATTAGAAATATTTATATTATTATATATCACAAGTGTTATTATATATTTATATTAACAGTTTTCTGGACATTGCCCTGGCCGGTGTGGCTGAGTTGGTTGGGCATAACCCCATGCACCTGTGCACCGAAAGGTTGCTGGTTCGATTCCCACTCAGGACACATGCCCAGGTTGCAAGCTCGATCCCTGGTAGGGGGCATGTAGGAGGCAGCCAATCAGTGTCTCTCTCTCACATCCGTGTTTCTCTCTCTCTCTCTCTCCCGCCCTTCCTGTCTTTCTAAAAAAATCAATAAAATATATTTTTTAAATTATCTGAACAAAATTAATAGAGAATATGTATGCATTGTGATTTTATTCTGCTTTTCCACTTTTTTCCAAAATAATAAAACTTTAGTACTTAATTCTAATTTATTTGTCTCATTTTTCAAAAGTTTTGGGTTCTATTCAAATAAACTTGTCATTTTTATGATGCCACATACAGATGGGGTGAACTGTGAGGTGTTACTTTTTCCAATTGGTAAAAAAAAGATATGTGTTTTGGTGAACCAAGTGACACCCAAACCTTTCTTTTAACTTCGTTTCCATTGTCTTTCACACTCAGTGACCAGCCAGGGCAGTCTTCATTCACAGGTGGTGGTTATTGAGAACTTCTATGTTCCAGTTCTTTGGAATACATAGGTACATAGGCTGTTTTTGGCCTATAAAACCTTTCAGAACTATTGGAGGGGCAATGTTTCCCCTCTCCACCTTCCAACATGCCATTCTCTTCTCAGCACCCTGCCTTCATATCCCTGCCCCTGCCCCACCACAGTGACCTCCTGATTGTTTCCAGCCTTATGTGACTGAGTTCTCCCGGCCTCATTTGCCTGCTACCTACTCTCTTCTGGAAGATTTCTGTGCTCCCTTCCCTGATACCAGGCCCTCCTATATTCCTCTTACGTCGTTGCGAACTTTCTCTATTCTTTGCTGGTGGTTATTTTATCACCCACCTGTTACATGTTGTTTCTGAGATGATTCTTCTTGGGCGTCTTCTCTCCTCCATCTTCTCTCCTCCATCTTCTCTCCTCCTGCTGCAGATCTGCCTCAGTTACTCTCCCCCTGTGGTTTCACTGCCACCTGCATGTCGCAGATACTTGCAGCTTTATATCCAGACTGTATCCCCTTCCTGGGCATCTGACCCTCTGGCAGGTTCCTCTGGGTGCCTTATAGGCACCTTGATCTCAAAGTGATTCTTTTTTACCTTTTCCTAAGCCAGCAATCAGGACTTTCACTGACTGACTGAACACTAATTAGGTAGAATTTTTTTCCCTTAATGATTCAAAGCTGATTGTGAAAAACATTGCTTTTGAAGAATTAATGGAGTGGAAAATACTCAACCATACTGTTTCATATATTTTTATTTGATATTATTAATATTTAGTTTGACTTTATGCTTAACTAAAATTGTATTCAAAATACATAGAGGAAATCATTTCAAGTTGGTTTTTCTCCTGCCAAACAGATCCTCCAAATGTACATATTATTGGAAATCTGCCTTTTAATGTTTCAACTCCGCTGATAATCAAGTGGCTTGAAAACGTGTCTCAGAGAGATGGGCCTTTTGCTTACGGCAGAACCCAGATGACACTGACTTTCCAAAAGGAAGTGGCAGAGGTGAGTTTTAATTTTTTTCTGGCTATTTTATCACATGATCAAATTCCAAAACAAAATAGTACTGCATTTTTATCACAGACTATGTTTTCTAAAGTTAATACTCCATTACACACACAAGAACCCAACAACAGCGCAACCAAAAATTAAGCATGTGGTGGTGGCCAATGTGACTGCTGTCAGCTCTCCATGCAGAGCAGGAATGACATGCTGCCAGCTAAGAAAGCAGAGTGGTGAACACAGGATGCACATCCACCGCGGCTAGGGAGAGATGGAGCCAGTGCGATGCATGATGCACCGATACACGGGAATTGGCATACAGTGTGTTATCACTGATGTGTTGAACTTAATAGGGTCACAGTTAAAGAATGTCATCATCAATTTGGAGCTGAGAAAGGGCAGAGGGTGTCTTGCTATTCAGTATATAGACTTTCACCTCGGCCAGGCCTACGTGCCCCAGCTGTTGTGTTCCAAGTGCACTCTCTAGAAAGGAAACCTACAGGGTAGGCAAGGGACCTGCAGACTATCAGTGTTTTTAAAAAGTTTTGTTCTGACACACAAGGACAAAAGAGTGTGTAATGTGTATGTACAGCTTGACAAAAAGAACACCTGAGTCCTCGCCACTCAATCAACCTAATTAAATTGCCAGCATCTTTGACACGCGTGGATGCCTCATTCTGATTCTGTCTCCTACCCGCCACCTACTCCAAGGTAATCAGTACCGTGAGTGTGGGCTTTATTATCCTTTGCATAGTCTATCTCACAGATTCTTGCATATAATTAATATACTTTAGTGTTGTCCACTTTTGGACGTTACACAGGTGGGTGCCTGCAGCATGGGTCCTGTTTACTCTGATTCACTCCTGTTGCTCATGACTGCAGTTTATTTGAATAGCGACATACTACGTGCTCTTCCACTGTCATAATTCATCTGTCCCTCCTCCTGCTTTGGGACCCTGGGTTCCTTTCAGTGTTTTCTTATTACAAACAGAACTCCAAAAGTTCTTACGTTTACGTTGGCCGGAGCACAGTGGCACGTAGAAATGCGGACTGAAGGCCTGTAACTCTCCACCCTCGCTAGATAAGGCTAAGTTGTTCTTGAAAGTCATTGTGCCTGTTCATGGTCCCACTAGCAATTCGTTTTGCTCCCTTTCTTTTCAATACTCACTTTTACCAGAGTTGAATTTTTTTGCTAATCTGGGGAGAAGGGTGTGTCATTGTGGTTTCATTCTATCTTTTGCAGATTTCTAATGAAATCGAGCACCGTTTACATGTTTATTGGCCGCTTGGGTGAGCTCTTTTTTGTGAAGTGCTCCAGCTTCATATGCAATTATTTTTCTTTAACAAAAAAAGTTGATTTCAGTTAAATTTTAGTATGAATATTGAAAAAAGAGTTTATATTGAGCCTATAACTTAAGGAAAGCTTTAGAAGTATGGATAACACTGGCCTGATTTTCACATTTTGCAAGTGGAAGTTTCGGCAGGAAGACACAGAGCATCATTTTCTTACTCACCCTCTCTCTGTTCTTGACACTGTCCTATTGAAATTTTGTATTTTAGCCACAGAAAGCACTTTTAAACATTTTCTTTGCTTGGCTTTGTGAGTTACAAAACAAATGAGCATGGTCCTCTTCTTTCTCTCCAGGACTGCAGGGTCTGAGCGTATGAATTCAGCTCACACACATTAAGGGACACATAGGTAGTATAAAGCTACAGCCATAAAATAGAACCAGGCTGTGTAGCAATAAATGAGACCTTGACAAATCTCATACAACCTCATTTTATAGATGATGAAACCGAGGCTCGAAGTAATTTTATGTTTTCCGAAAGGTCATGGAGCTAGTTAAGGGAAAGCTGAACCTGAACTCAGGTCACGTGTTTTCTGCTGAAGTCATGATGTTCAGCTTCTCCAAGTGGCTGGACCTATGGTCTTTTCCTCCCAGGTCCAGCATCAGCCTCTTCATCCCCTTCATCTCCAGCGGACCCTGGTCACATCCCCAGCAGGAGGGAGTCACCTCTTCATTAATTATGTCGTTCTGTGTGTCCCTGGTGTGTGGCCGTTTCATTTCTCAAGTATAAGCCAATTTTTCTTACTTGTGCTTAAAATTATTTTAGATGAATAAGGGAAAAAAAGTAGCACTGTCCTTGCGAATTCTTTGACCCTTTTTTTCTTAGACTAAGTCAGAATGCTTTTAAAAGCTCAAAGGTTAGGTATTTCCTCTTAGTGAAACATTAACTGGTTTGGGTTTCCTGGCCTTCTGCTGCAGTCATCTGTCTTCTAATGAAGGTTGAATTTTTCAGAGCTTTACCTGTGATATACATATCACAGAAATACCAGTTTGTTCAAATGGTTGATGAACCACTTAACTCTTGTGCTAGCTTTTAATGAAGCCCTTTGCAGAGCTTCCTGGTCTGTGGCTTGGATTTTTCTGTAATGGGTGAGGGCAGATATGTGTGCTGCTTTCTTCTAAATTAAGCCATGTGGTTCACATGTTTTCATCTCCACACCATGGCTACATTTGCTACAAAGATTGGGTGGGTCAGGTTAATGGTCACGACAGCCCCTCCCCTGGCAGGAGTGGACACATAGCATTCTTCTAAGTGAAACAGACTGAGATGTGTCTCGATATCAAATTAGCTTACCCTCCGTGCCTCACTGGTTTGCTTTTTGGTTAAAGTGACTTTTAAATCTCTTGAATTCATCTGTGGAAACATACATTTCAGATGTAAAGTGACAATTTGGAAGAAAGTACAGGATGAAATAATTTTTAAATCTGGGCATTTCTTTTGCCTTATGATTATGTTCATGCTGGATTTTAGTTTTATATAACTGCTTTGAATTTTGCCAGCTTGCACAATGCATTTTCAATTAATTTTTTACCAGTGGTAAAATTAAGCTCCTTTTTTTCAGTGAAGGACTAGAAATATTTTTGACCGCTTGAGCCATGAGCTTATTCTTTAACTGAAATCTGTATTTCCATTATTTGTCTCTGTGTTTTTGATATTGGCTTAAGAATATGTATAATTATTGGTTTCACATTTTAGTCAGGAAGAGTTCATTGTATCAGATACACTATAGCATCTCATCACTTGTCATAAACTCAACTTCCCAATAATGTCAACTGTCCAAATGCAGGCAAGAGCCAGATAATATAAAATAAAAAGGGATGAGATGAGGAGTGCTTTCTGAACAGATAACAAAACAGATGCCACAAAGTCTACAGTCAACTTGGCCAATAGCATGTTTTCACAGCATCTCAGATTAAAACCTAGTTTTTAATCTTGCTTAAGGCAAAATCTTTTATAAACCAAATTATGTGGTTTTCAAGTGCACAGCAGGTTAGAATATACAATGGAATAAAGACAGTCTCTTCAATAAATGGTGTTGGGAAAATTGGACAGGTACATGGAAAACAATGAAACTATACCACCAACTTACTCCCTACAGAAAAGTAAACTCAAAATGGATAAAACACTTAAATGTAAGATGTGAAACCATAAAAATCCTCCAAGAAAACGTAGGCAGCAAAATCTCATCTCTCTCTTAGCAATGTTTGCTGATACATCTCTTAGGGCAAGAGAAACGAAGGAGAAAGTAAACAAATGGGACCACATCAAAATAAAAGCTTCTGCACAACAAAAGAAACTTTCAACAAAATGAAAAGGGAGCCCACTGTCTGGGAGAACATACTTGCCAATGACACATCAGATAAAGGGTTAATATCCAAAATATATAAGGAACTCATACAACTTAACAAAAGAAAGACAATCCAATTTAAAAATGGGCAAAGGACCTGAATAGACACTTCTACAAAGAGGACACACACATGGCCAAGAGACACATGAAAAAATGCTGAAGGTCACTAATCATCAGAGAGATGCAGATTAAAACCACAATGAGGTATCACTTCACACCTGTCAGAAACCTACCATCAACAAATCAACAAACGACTTGTTGACTTGTTGCTGGTGAGGGTGTGGAGAAAGGGGAACCCTACTGCACTGCTGGTGGGAATGCAGACTGGTGCAGCCACTATGGAAAACAGTATGGAGGTTCCTCTAAAAATTAAAAATGGAGCTTCCTTTTGACCCAGTGATCCCACTTCTAGGAATATATCCTAAGAATCTTGAAACACTAATCAGAAAGAATATATGCACCCCTATGTTCATAGCAACGTTATTTATAATAGCTAAGATCTGGAAACAGCCCAAGTGCCCATCAGTAGATGAGTGGATAAAAAAGCTGTGGGACATTTACACCATGGAGTACTATGCAGCTGTAAAAAAGAAGGATCTCTTACCCTTTGGGACAGCATAGATGGAACTGGAGAGTGTTATGCTAAGTGAAATAGGCCAGTCAGAGAAAGACAAGTATCACATGATCTCATATGTGGCATCTAATGAACAAAATTAACTGATGAACAAAATAGATCCAGAGACGTAGAAGCATGTAACAGACCTAGGGATCTCAGAGGGAAGGTGGGGGTGGGGGAGTGGGTGGGGAGAGATTAACCAAAGAACTTATATGCATAACCCATGGATTCAGACAATAAAATGGGGAAGGCCTGGGGGTGGGCAGATGCTGGGTAGAGGGGATCAAGGGGGTAATAAGGGGGTACATCTGTAATACTTTCAACAATAAAGATAAATTTAAAAAATATTACCTATAATGTTGCAGTAAACATTCATTCATACACGCGTCTCCTTGTGTAACTATATAAACTGTTCTCTAGGATAAAGTCTTAATGGTAAACCTCTAAAGGATCATGGGGTTTACTTTTCAGCTTTACTATGTATATTTACTATGTACTACGGTCCACTGTGCTTGTGCCAGTTTCCCCTCCCACAAACAGTGTGTGAGTTCCTGTTGCTACCAATACTCACCAGTACTAGGTTCTACCAGGTTCTTTTTGGTGTCACTTAAATTGTTCATCGTATGGATATGAAATTGTATCTCTTTGTGGTTTTAATTTGCATGTCCCTATCTTGTCATGTAGTTGAGCATAGTGTATGGTTCCTTTGAATTCCTCTTATATTTTCTATTAGTTGTTTATCTTTTGATTATGATCAGGCTGGATTAATTATTTACTGAAATTCCTTTGTCTTTCCATAGAGACTTGCAGCCACTACGGGAAGCAGACAGCGCAGTCGCCTGTCTGTGATGGCCCAGTACCTCTGCCACGTGCAGCACGTCTTCACAATCCCAGGCCGGGCTTTTGTTCCCAAGCCCGAGGTGAGTCTCTGCTCCTTCGTTTCACTGTGCCAGAACTCGGGCTTTAATGGTATTCCTGCTCCTCGGAGGACGAATCAGGAAATTGTCTCTAGGGTGTCGTCTTCTGTGCAAATGGTACCATAAGTTTTCTCTACCTCTCCCGAATAACAACCATAAAAGTCACAATGTGAATAAAAACCACGGTTCCTGTTCTCGTTTCTCCCCCTACTTAGAATGACCAGATGTCCAGTCATCCATGTTGCCCCGATGGTGGCAATATTATTATTATCACTATTATTACCATTTTTGACAGTTATGTTATCTCAGTATAAAAGTTACATTATGTAGTCATCCAATCCTCAAAAAAAGAAATCAGTATTTTTTGTGTGGTTTCTGTTAGAGACTTCTAGCTAAAGTTACATCAAATGTTATTTATTATGAATGTTTTTCCATTTCTTGGAGAGATCTTATTTTAATATTACTGAGAGTTCAAAACACTCCTATGTGTATTTAGGAAGAGAATATTCCAAAAATAAATAAAAATTATTTTTGAAGTAAATATAGACTTATATAGAATATGTAAAATAAACTTTTAGTGTGGGACTATCGGATACATAGGCTACATATAAAGCCAGTCACATTAAGCAAACTGAGAGAACAGTATAGGTGGAAAAGCAGTCCTCTCCCATGAATCTGCATTAAAATATTCTTTGTTAGAATTATTTTTAAAACATTTGTTTAGAAATACTTTGACCATTCAAAAGGAATGCATACTTTACACAGTCATTTAAACTGTTTCAGTGATCCCCTTTCTGACCTATATATGGACTAGCACCTTATCGCTTTAGCTATTCCATTAACAGCTGATGACAAGCTGAAGAAGAGTGTGACGACCTACTGAGTAAAATAGGCATAAAATATTCTAGGCTCTAGTTCTCACATAAAAGGCATTCTTCCCCTTCCTGAATTATTAATATACAAAGAAAGGCTCCTTTTCCCCATTTCTATTACATTGTGAGCAGTCACCAGGCTTGAATTAGCAAATTATTAGAAACAACCATGTGCAGTGTTTCTTTTGCACATCAAAGAATCCAGTTTTTATTTGCTAGTTAAAATGTTTGGAATACATAAGATAATTTAACTCAAATTTTTAAAAGCAGTCTTTATACTGTAAAAATTACTTGCACATCCACTAACTCATTGAAGTAGCTCATTTATAAGAGAACAGCAATGCTTTTGTTAATGTGGATCAAACTGGAGAGTAAAATGACAACTTAAAAGTAACCTTTATGTCCAAATACTAACCAGTGAGAGAGTAAAGGAGCGGGGTGAACCTAAGTTGTGGGTGAATGACTTAATCTGGAGAAAGGAGAAGCCTATTGCTGGCAGCAGAAGAGGGCCCTTCTGGAGCCTGTTCAGACAAACTTTCTGTCATCACTGAGCTTTACTTAACTGCTCTGGAAGTCCCAGAGGTTTGAGTTTGGTTTGGTTTGGTTAGGTTTGGTTTTGCTTTGCTTTCTGGCCTTTACCAGTGTGTTTCCTTTAGTTCTGCCTCATCTTTGAGTGTCATCTTCTTGGCTTTTACAAATGTATGTAGATATTTTTCTAAAATGAAAAAAGAGACAGGGAGGTTCCAGTAGGTGGGGAGTTAGGGCGGCTGGTTGGGCAACGTCGGAAAGAAGTGGTTAGCTCTTCTTTCCCTAATGTGCTGTCATGCGTGGGCTGGAAAACAGAAGCCAGTTCCTGTGGGTCACCACCCAGATGGCAAAGGCAGACGATCCCTGGATTTGTGCCAGGGCAAGGTGCTTCTCACTCTCGGCCATTTAACTCTTTTATAAAGTTCAATTAAGTACCAATTTGGAAAATGGATTAGCAGGTTATCTTATAAAGGAAAAAAGGCCATCAATATAGGCCTTATTAATATAGTCAGACCCTCTTCCAATTATGACTCTTCCAATTATTTTAAGAATAATCTTAAAACAGATATTGTACATGCGAGTTTGTTGGCATTTTAAATGACGTTGCCATTGTAAAAGTATTTAAAATCCTTGTAGACAGTTAAGCATAATTCTGGTATATATATATTTTTTATCCAAAATAAAGACAAGAGTCCCAGCAGCCACCTAAAAGTTCCATGTGTGTCACACAGTGATCTACACGTAATCCCTCAGGTTGTAAGCTGAAGTGCCCTCGAGCTTTGCGGTGGGGCTCTGCCGCTGCTTGGGCGGGGAGAGCCAAGCCTCTGGGTCCTCCTTCCTCATGCAGGAAGTGCAGAAAATTGCGCCAGAGATCAACAGCAGCATGGCCGCAATGAACCCAATGTAGATGGCTCCTCCGGGCTCAGGTTTGTTGCTCTCTGGGACTGTCAGATCCAGAAAGTTTGCGATGATCTCCTTCGTGTACCACACAGTTGGTATTATCCCAGAGATCCCTGCAGACATGAGACAGATGCCTCCAGCGAAGGAAGAGTGACTCTTGGTCTCTCTGTCCCCTCCTAAGCGAATGCATTGCATTCCCACCGTGGAAGTGCAGATCCCTAGAGCAGACAGGACACAAGCCAGGACCATGGTGGCCCGCGCAGCCTGCACGTGGATGGGGAGGGTCAGGACGGAGAACTTGAGGGTGCAGCTGAACATGCCGGTGCTGTAGCACGTGCAGTCCATCCACAGCCCCTGCACCTGGATGATGGACGTGATGATGTTGGAGCCCGTGTCCAGGTTCACCATCCAGTTGGGCAGCAGGGTGGCTGCCAGCACTCCAGAGACCCCACAGAAGGCCAGGACAAAAGCAAGGAGCTGGAGGCCCGTTGAGGGCATGACCTTACTGCCAGCTCTGTCCGCCTAGAAAATCCCAGTGCTCAATTATGACGTCTGTTGGTCAAAATTATAGCTGTTTCTGTGCAGTGCAGGACCAAGTAACAGGCTGGGGAAGGAAGACAAATTGAGGGAAAGGAAGATAAACAAAAAGGCTCCCGTGTGCCTCGGTCCCGCAGTGGGTGCGGCTGGTGCTGCCCAGGGGAGAGGCCCACACCAGGCCTTCAGAGGTGCATCCTCCTGGGCGACCAGGCGGCCGTGCCGGGCGCGTGGCGGAAGGGGAAGAGCTGTCCACCATGTTCTTTTTAAAACTTAACTGTGGTGAAGTTGTCTGTAAAGTGGGCCAGTACCTTGTGAGCCTTGGGCATACCAGATTCCAGCTATAAGGTCTGATAACGAATTTTAATAGCATTATAGCTTTTTAAAATTTATTTTGTCTTTAATTAAAACACTCTCTAGGTAATAAGAATAGTTTAAACCCACCCCTTAAAGATGATATAGTAATATATTTTAGAAAAGTTTCAAGTATTCAAAAAATAGTTTTATAGACAAGTATTTATTTAGTGCCCACTGTGTCCCAGCACATGGCCCAGGTGAGTGGTGTGAGGAGGAGAGGAAAGCACTGGAAAGAGGTCTGTCACCTGCAGGATTACCCCACATTTCTAGTTAATAAACATTTGCAAAATTCTTACCTAGGGTGGCACTTCTTTCACTTCGGGTACGAGGTGCTCAAAACCGCAACAGTTAAGCTCCTCACCGGAACAATTAAGCTTCTGTGCTTTGCTGTGAGAACGTGAGATCCTTTCTAGTCGGGACCAAGATCCTCCTGACCCAAATGCAGCAGCCCGCTGCAGAACCGGTTCTCCTGACAGGTCCAAGGCAGGGACATCGACTCGAAAATACGAAACAAATAACCACATCACTGCTTGTCTGTGAAAGGGGCCCAAATATAACTTAGCACTTTATTTTTTTTAAGAGGGAAAGTTAGCGCTTGCTTTGTGGCTTGGCTGGGTTTTAATGGGCAGTGCTTATTGCCTTCTTTGAGAAATTTAATGGTCTCTGAAGTACAGCAATACTGGCTTTTTGTGTTTCTAAATTAAATTTGGAACAATGTGTTCTATCATGACTCACATATATTTGACAAAAGGCAGTATGCATGGGTCAGATCTCGGCTTTCCAGACCTCTCGGTGCCTCAGGATCCTCTTCTGGAAACTGGGAAGATTATAGCACCTACATCATGGGGTTAAATACATCAGTACATTTTAAGGGCTTAGAACATTACCCCCATAGAAAGTCATCAATAAATTATAACTGTTATTAGTATTTTTGTTTATTTTCTATCATATGACAAATAAATGTCATATGATATTTATTTTCTACCTTTTGGCAATTTCCTTTTTCTCTTCCTTCCTTAGGCTGATTTAACTCATTGGCATAGAATCTTAGAGCTGAAAGAAACTGTAGATCGAATCTTGTATTCCACCATTTTTCAGGTTAGCCTATTTAGATGTTAAATCACCCAGTGCCACACAGGTCTCAGCAGCAGATCGTCAGTATACAGATCTTCCCTTCTCTTCCCACCTCACTCCAGCCTGGACCTTTCACGTTACCCTAGTACTTCTGGTGAATTCTTCCCCTGGGTGCTTCCTGTGGGAAGCTGGGAAAATGCTCCATCTGAAGGCACAAAGCACCATTAACTATCAGCTTCACTCATTCCCTTTCCCACCAAAAATTAAAAAAAAAAAAAAAAAATACTCCAGAGGGTATCAGTTGGGCAAATGGCTTAGCTTTGGAGACTCACCCAGGAGGTCGACATCTGGCTTTTGTGCAGTGTCTGATGGTTAATACAGGCGTGTATAAGTAATCCTAAGGATGCCTATACAAGTATGAACTTTTCTATACTCTGACATTGATTCTCTAAGAAGTTAAATCCTGGTCTATCAGAATCCCATTGTTCTACTTTTGTTCATAGTCTTAAAATGTGAAAATTAAATTTTAGAGGATTTCCCCGAGATTTTGAATTCTTAAGAATCAGACTTACTATAAGGGTCAGATGCCTAGGCTTTGCCTGCCATCACAGTTTCTCTCTTTACATACTGAGACCAACATAGAATGAAAAGTTTCTAGAAAAAAATGAACCCCATGTTTATAGTTTCATAATAGCTGCCTTCGGATGTGGGCGTAGCACCTCAGCCAGCTCACTAAATTACTCCCTTCCCAGATCACTTTCAGCTTAGGATTCTTTAGAGAGAGACTGCTGTTTGCATTCCCTGAGAGCAGCTCATTTCTGTCTTTATTTTTACTCTGGTTGAGTAACCTTTATGCATTGATCAGTCTGTGCTCAGCTTCCCAATTATAACTTTTTTTCTCATTAGCCAATACATTTTATGAATTTCAGTGTAATTCACACTCACAGACAGCTTGTTCCTCTTAATTAACAAGTACTGGCAGTGATGAATTACAGACAGTCGGAATCAGCGTAAACAATGTGACACTGCATTGTTAGCACAGCGCTGGTCGCTTACTGTTGAGTATCGGGCTTGAAATGCTTTCTTCTGCAGAGAGAACTTAGGCAGAAAGGTCTGTTCTCCAAAAAGCAGGTCACTGTTCGGTTTCTTTTGAACAGTACATTGGTGTCTTAGCTATAGTGCTATGAAATCTTGGTTTTTCCTCTCCGGCTGCAGGCATGATAGGGTTTGTGGCCTGTTCTCTCAAGTTTCTGTCGGGGAGAGGGTAAAGGCGTACTTTGTTTCCATGGTCCTGGTGGTAGTGGAGAAACACTGACAGTAAGCACACTGAGCTCTAAGGGGAGAACTCTCATGGTTCCAAACACATCTCGTTCAGAACGGAACCTGGGATGTTGCATTTGTGAACTGTCCCCCAACAGCAAGTCTAGAGTGGATGGCATTAAAGAGTAAAGTCTGTTTTCCCGACAGGACTTATTTATATCAAAACTAATATTTAAGAATGGATTTACAACTTAAAATTCAAACTAAATGGTACTTTAAGAGCTATATCTAAGTCTCTAAGCTTATAGCAGCTTCCCATTTTCCATACCTTTTTCCGTAGCCTTCAATGTCTTAATTCCCTTTGGTCGGTCATCTTCGAATAAGCCCCAGTGAGGTTTGATGGAGAGACACCACTTGCAGGAGGCTCGCCTTACAGCTTCTGAATACTGTACTAGTGATAAAGCTCCAACAAGCTAACTTGCAGATAGCACATACAGAGCAGCATAGAAATTTGAGAGGGAAAACTGCTGATGGTGCTGGGAGATAAATACCAGGTTCTCCATCTCATTTTTTGAGCTGTGGGCGAATTAAGAAAGGAGAGGCGGGGAAGGGAGGGAACTGTTTTCCCAACAGTACTTGTTGAAACCTGAAAGCAAAAAGTGCTTGTGTGCCACGTCCGCAGAGGCGGAATTATTTGGGTGCTCACAGAAAGGCTTTTCTTCTTTTAAGGTTATGTTTCATCCACAGTTATAATTTATTCTTGAATTTTTATCTCTGTTGGAAGGTGCAGTTTATTATTTGACGTCCCCAATTATACACTAAAGAATATGGTCTGAGATATTTTTAATTAGACTGCTCTGCAAATGACAGTAAGACTATTTTTACCTTTTTATATTCTGACTTGTCTGAAATCAGGATTCACAAAATTGGTAACTTTCAACATAAACATTCAAAAGGCAGTTTTAAAAATATGTATGTATATATTTTTAAATAAAAGAAACTCCTGCAGCAAGTGTTGACTAGAATTTTTATCAGCAATCCTACAAGAATGCGGGGGGGGGGGGG